ACATGTCCATCCTGGGCCTCCTGCAGTGCCACAATGATGCCACCGGAAGGTTGCAGGAACAGCAACTCATATTCCGCTTGGGAACCCTGCAGCCCAATGGTATCAATGTGGACTTCACGAGCTTCAAAATCTCCCCTCCCCCTACCGCATCCCAAAACCAGTCCAGCTCGTCCCCGCCTCCCTAACCTGTCCTTCCTCCCACCTATCCCCTCCTCCCACCTCAAGCCGCACCTCCATCTCCTACCTACTAACCTCATCCCGCCCCCTTGACCTGTCCATCCTCCCTGGACTGACCTACCTCCTCCCTAACTCCCCACCTACACTCACCTTTACTGGCTCCATCCCCGCCTCTTTGACCTGTCTGTCTCCTCTCCACCTATCCTCTCCTCTATCCATCTTCTATCCGCCTCCCCCTCTCTCCCTATTTATTTCAGAACCCTCTTCCCCTCCCCCATTTCTGAAGAAGGGTCTCGGCCCGAAACGTCAGCCTTCCTGTTCCTCTGCTGCTGCTTGGCCTGCTGTGTTCATCCAGCTCTACACCTTGTTATCTAACATCCTGGTAAATCTCATCTGAACCCTCTCCACTTTAATAATATCCTTCCTATAAAGGGGAAGTCAGAACTGGACACAGTGCTCCAGAAGAGGTCTCACCAACGTCCTGTACAACCTCAACATGACGTCCCCAACTCCTGTACTCAAAGGTCTGAGCAATGAAGGCAAGCGTACTAAACCCCTTCTTAACCACCCTGTCTACCTGTGACGTAAACAGGTCTCTCTGTTCTATAACATTATCCAAGGCCCTACTTTTAATTGTACAAATCTTGCCTTTGCTTGTTTTACCAAAATGCAACACCTTGCATTCATCCAAAATCAATTTCTGGCTGGCAAGGTGTAATGTGTGGTCTGCCATAGGGATCGGGGCCTTGGATTTATAGAACGTACATTAATTATTTGGATGAATGGATGGAAGGTAGGGTTGCTGATGACAGAGAGATAGGTCGGAGAGGAAGGGGATACTGATCGCTTAAGTGAGCGAGCAAAGATCTAGCGAGAAGAGACTGACGTGAGAAAATGTGAAACTGTCCATTTTGGCAGGAGGAATACAAATAAATCGAAATGGGGAGAGGTTGTGAAGACTTAGATGCAGAGGGATCTGGGTATCCTGGTGCATGAATCACTGAAGATTAGTCAGCAGGGACGGTAAGTAAGTAGGCAAGTTAATAGAACGTTATCACTCGGTGTGAGAGGGATCGAATACAAAGGTAGGGAGGTTAGACTTCAACAGGACAGGTTACTGAGGAGACCACGTGCGGAGTACAGTACACACCACACATCACCTTAAAGAAAAATATAAATGCATCGGAATGCACAAGTTGCCTCAAGGGAAGGTGGGTAAGGCTAGACAAGGTGTGTCAGAGGGTCAGTACTGAGGGAGAGCTGCACTGTCAGAGGGTCAGCGCCGAGGGAGCACCACACTGTTGGAGGGTCAGTGCTGAGGGAGTGGGCACTGTCGGAGGGTCAGTGCTGAGGGAGTGGTCACTGTCGAGGGTCAGTGCTGAGAGAGCGCTGCACTGTCAGAGGGTTGGCGCCGAGGGAGCGCCGCACTGTCGGAGGGTCAGTGCTGAGGGAGCGGGCACTGTCGGAGGGTCATTGCTGAGGGAGCGCCACACTGTCGGAGGGTCAGTGCTGAGGGAGCACCGCACAGTCGGAGGGTCAGCGCTGAGGGAGCGCCGCACAGTCGGAGGGTCAGTGCTGAGGGAGTGGGCACTGTCGTAGGGTCAGCGCTGAGGGAGCGGGCACTGTCAGGAGGGTCAGCGCTGATGGAGCGGGCATTGTTGGGAGGGTCAGCGCTGAGGCAATTTTCACAAATGTGGAATTTCAACAAACATCCAATCCTCCCACCATCAGCACTCAGTCAGAAACTGAGATGCAGTGAAAAAATTCACAGACTGCTTTGACAACAGTTTCTAAACCTACAACCTCCACTGTTCACAAGGGGAAGGGCAGCGGTGCAGTGCTAAGTGAACTTCAACCCAGAAAACATGCAAGATATTACAGTTGGGGAGGGCTAATAAAGCTTTGGGTAACTCTGTG